ATAATAAAGAAAATATAAGTAGTCCTTCATCCCTTGTTCAATTAATTAAAAAAATCAAATAAGATACATTTAGTCACTATCACTCCTAGTTAAGTAATTTGGAACTTCTTTTTCTGATGTTTCCGTTCCATCAAACTCTTCCTCTTCATCATCATCCTTACCCACACATTCTTTATTTGCCACATTTGGCAATTGCATGACCTCACTAATCACCACTTGTTCTCTCCCTTGAGGTGCTAGTGAAACATGATCATTTAAAATAGTCGAGGGTTGCACCAATTGTGGCATAGGAGGGTCATCGTCTTGGTAATAAACATTTTCACCATCACTCAACGATGAAGTGTCAATTATTGCTCTTGCTCTAATCTTACATGCAGCAAACCACCAATTTCTACAAGGATTTTGAGATTGGTAACAGGCATAAAACACTTGTTTAGCTTGACTGGCCAATATGAATGGTTCATCTGTTTGTAATTTAAACTGAGAATTTATGTCAACTATACCAGATGTCGGATGGACCATAATCATAATGCCTTTGTTGATATCATACCACTAACACTTGAACAAAATCACTGGTTGATGAACATATGAGTCAAAATACTGAAACTCAATTATTTCCTTCAAATTCCCATAATAATTTGACTCATCATTGAAAATGGTTTCCTTCACACAAACACCACTATTCATGGTCTTTTTATTTTGTTCATATGCAATAGTATGAAACTAGAATCCATTACCCCAATAACCATTGTATACCCTAACGTTATTGACTGTGCCAGTTACTAAAGGCAAGAGGCAAGAGGCAAAAATCAACCTCATATCTTCCACTACGCACCTAGATTTGTTATAAAAATATTTAATATTTAATCTTAAAATATATAAAAATTGAGATCTTAATAATAAAAATTATTAAAATAAATTATTTACCGTTGTCTTAAACTAAGGAATAAATTTAAGTTGCCGTTTGATTTGAATTTGATCGTCTAATAGACTGTAACATACTTGATAATCAAAAAGCCTACATGAAGAAGTTGGAGGAAACAATCTATACATACTAGTAACTTAAACAAATGAAAGTTAGAACTAGAGAACATACGCAATCCATGGATTAACTTCTTCACAATTAAGCAAAACATAAAGTTCTGCTGCCTTTAATTCTTTGGGTGACAATGCACGCATACGCATTTCTCCACCTAATGGTTGACCTCGATGTTTAAAGACAGACAAACAATTATCCATATCATCATTCACGCCGACAATGTTTCTTGGTTGATGATTCAATCTTGTCTGTATGTTAGATCCAAAATAATGCGAGTAAAAGAAGGTAATTTCTAAAAGAATGTTAGACTCGCAAATTAAAGCGTCAACACAATTTTTGTTCAACACTATTTTCTTAAGGTGATGCATTTTTCTGTTAAACAAATAAGAAAATTAATTAATAACATTAAATTATTAAATATACTCATGAATGTTATTATGATGCGAAGATATATTAGAAAAAATATACCTTTCAAAAGGATACATCCAGCGAAATTGGACAGGTCCTCCAACTTTTGCCTCATATGGTAGATGGATAACTAAATGCTCCATCGAGTCAAAGAATGTTGGCGGGAATACTTTCTCTAACTTGCAAATGGTCTCAACAATATTTTCCTCCCACATCTTCATGTTATTGACTTGAATAATCGGAGCAGTTAAAACTCTAAAAAAGTTACTAATCTCAATTAAAGGACCCCAAACTTCATCTATGAGGAAATCACGAAAAGCAATTGGCAAGAAACGCTACATGAATACATGACAATCATGGCTTTTCATCTCAAACAATCGAAGTTCTTGCATGTTAACACATTGTGCTATGTTGGATGCATACTCATCTGGGAATCTCAATTCCTTTAGCCACTGATAGATAAGAGCTCATTGCTCTCGAGTAAGAACATATGTAGCATTGGGTTTTATAGTTGTTCCATCATCTTGAGGTATCAATTCTAATTCAAATCTATTGCAATACAGTTGTAGATCCAATCTAGCATTGGTGTTATCCTTCGTACAACCCTTGTCATCCAGGACAGTATTTTTAATATTATCTAAAAAATTCTTCTCACAATGCATGACATCAAGGTTATGACGAATCAATAAATCCTTCTAATCTGGCAATTCCCAAAATATACTACGTTTCACCCAATTATGAAAAACACCAAATCTTGCAATTGAATGTTTACGAAGTGGTTGGCCAAAGACTATGTCAAGGAGCTGATTAACCTCTTCTTCTATCAAAGTACCATCTAGTCTTGGAGGGGGACGACTTTTTTCAACTCTATTAAAATAAAATTTTTTCTTATCTCTACGAAATTGATGTTTAGGAGGTAGAAATTGACGTTGACAATCAAAAAGTGATGTTTTTCTCCCATATTGAAGTTGAAAAGCCTTAGTGTTCTCCATGCAATAAGGGCATGACAACTTCCCATGTGTGCTCCATCCAGATAACATGCCATAACCTAGAAAATCACTTATAGTCCATAGCAATGCAGCTTTCATGATAAAATTCTGTTGTCTGAAACTATCATAAGTTTCAACCCCATTTGTCCACAATTCCTTAAGTTCATCAATTAATGGCCTAAGCATGACATCAATGTTTTTTCATGGACTTTTAGGTCCAGCAATTATCATGGCAAGAAATATATGCTCTAACTTCATAAACAATTCAGGAGAAAGGTTGTATGTACACTATAAGAAAAATAGGCCAACAAGAGTAAGGTGTTGCAAAGCAACCAAATGGATTGAAACCATCTGTACAAAGGCCAAGTCTAACATTTCTAGGTTCATCAGCAAATGTTGGGTGGGTTTTATCAAAGTGTTTCCATGCCTCACTAGCCGCAGGATGAATAACTTTAGCCGCATCCTCACGACATTTCAAATGCCATGTCATGTGCTCTGTTGTCACAAAGATTTCCTTGGAACATCTTTCTGCCTTATAGCAGACATATTCCTCAGCTCATAACAGGATTCTGCACACACTGGACAAGCAGTTAAATTCTTACTTTGCTCATCATAGTACAAAAAGCAATTATTGACACAAATGTCAATTTTCTTGTACCCAAGTCCAAGCACATTTATCATTTTTTTGCATTGTAGAAATCCTTTGGCACATTTTCTTGGTCCTCTGGACTTAACAACTTTCGACTCAATGACAATGCCATGTCCTAATTAGCAACACTTATATTATAAAGAGTTTTCATGTTTAGCATTTCTGTCATCCATGAAAGTACTGTAACATCCTATCCTCCAACACCTATATGAACTTCTACAGCATGCAAGAGATCATAAAATTCTCTTGCCTTACTATTTGGCTCCTCAACCATTAGCCCCTCATTGTATTTAGACTGTGCACCCATTGCATCAACTACCATTTCATGGTATAATGCATTTATCTCATGTCTAACAAACTCCATCTTAGAAGATTCCCCTTCAAAGTTTATTACGGTATTGCTAGATGTCTCTCCATGAACATACCATGTATAATAGTTATTCATAAACCCATGCTTACACAAATGCACAGAGACAACGTCAAGATTCCCCCATTTTCTACATTTACATTTCAAACAAAAACACTTAATCTCTGATTTTGCTTTCGATCTTGAAAATGCAAATCTCACAAAAAATTGCACCCCCTCTTTAAATTCATTGGTAACAAAACCACTATCATCTACACGATGATTTATCCAACTAGGGTCGTCCATCATTTAATTACCTAATTTGAATTTCAATTTGACAAAGTATATTAACATATCAACTAATAACCATACATGTCAATAACCACACAAGTTAATCTTAATCTTAATAATTTTAAATTAAATTTATTTATGTATATAAATTCAATATATAAAAATACTATTATATTTCAACAATCATACATATATTAATCTCATTATAAATAATTTAGTAACTTTATAAATATATATTAAATATAAATAGTACTCTAATTTAATTACCATACCGATTTTAATCTCAATAATTTGAAATAAACAATTTAATATATAAAAATTCAATATAAATATCATTTTAGTTCAATAGTAATGTACATCCCAATCTCAATATCAATCTCTCAGATTGAGCTAATTTGAAATAAATAACAAATTTGTAACTATAAAAATTCAATATAAATATCACTCAATTTCAAGATATTTAGACTTCAATCTCAATATCAATCTCAATCTTAATCTCAAATTTAATAATCTAAAATCCATAACTTTGTATTTAAAAATTTACTAAAAAATAACTATTCAAGCAAGTAATTAACGTACAAATTTCAATCTAAAAAACTAGAAAGAAATAACAGCAATTTACTGACAATTCATGCAATAATAGTAATAATCTAAACTAATCTACAAATAAGACAATATAATTTTGTATAAAAAAACCACAAAAATCTCAATTACCTCTGCCAATAGGGATGGTAATACTGTGGAGGCAATGAAGGTGGTAAAAGCTGGGTTTTGACCTACAAAAAATGAAATTGGGGTCTTGTAAACTCAAATCCAAGGAAAAAACAAGGAAAGAAACAACAACAGAATGAAAAAAAAAAACACAAAGAGTGCTGCAACTTACAAAAGGCACGATGGAGGCGCATGGTGGCTTAGAGGCGATGGATCTTGGACCGAAAGGTACGGATCTAGAAGGAAATATACAAATGCCGACTGTAAATCCAAGAAAAAAAAAAAAACTAGATCATTGCACAGGAAAGGGGCCAACTCACCGTTAACATCACCAATGGGATATTCCGACAGCATGGGGCTCGACAGGAAGAAGCAAGAATACCGGTGGCAACAGCAAGAACAATGATAGAGAACAACAAACCAGATCGCCACAGAGGAAGAAGAAGAAATGGGGAAAGAAAAGGGAGTCGGAGGGGTTATCAGTGGGTATATTTGACAACATTACTGTCAAATGTACTAGAGAAAATGTCATCATTTCCTACATATTTGACCGCATTGCGATCGAATACGTGAAAACATAATCAGTAGCCAAATGCTGTTGATTATACATATTCGACAGAAGAATTTCTATCGAATATGGGTACATATTCGACAACCCTTTTGTCAAATATGAATGTTGTCAAATAAGAACCAAAAAATTGATTATAATCGACAATCAAGCATATTCGACAGCCAATTTGCTGTTGAATATGTTCTTGTCATTTATGCCTAGTTTTCCAGTAGTGTATAATACAGCTCCATGGTTGGTTTTCAATCTCAACACTGATTCAAGAATACTCTAACAGTAACTAAATATGGACAATTGCCCTATATAGTAAATAAATATGGACAATTGCTGTCACGCCCCAGAACCCAAATCCGGGGACGTGGCAGACGCCGTGCACTCGTGAGAGGGTCCCACAAATGCATAAGGCTCGGAACTTATCATATCACAATCTGATACCACAAAATCTGAAGATCAAATCTTTAAAATCTATGTTCAATTACAATATGGCTAGCCTTCTAACTCATCACTTCCCGTAGTTTCCTTGTCCTCGGTTTCACTTCCTGAAATGGTGGACAAGGAAAACTATGAGATAAACTCAGTAAGTAAATATGGATTGCCCTTAATTAAACTTATAGCATGCCAACAAGCGCAATCACGAAAGACGGATACAGTAGGGGAACGAAATAGACGTCTCCTCTATAGGTCATGGCCAGCGTTTATAAACCTCCCACTGGCGGGTACACGAGTACTAGTGTATAATCCCCACTAGTAGGGCCATGAGCGAACCGGTTCTATCACGAACATGTCGACATGTGCTAGCGTTTGTAACCTCCCCCACTAGCGGGGTCACGAATAACATATCGACATGTGCTGACATGTGCTAGTGTTTATAACCTCCCCCACTAGCAGGGTCACGAATAACATGACCACATTGGAGACAAAACAGGCAGAAGTTAACAGGAAAATCACAATTCACAATCACTTTCAGATTATCAGGACAGTCACTTAAATTCCAAGTAGGCATGCTCAATTTCATGAAAAGCATAAAAATTGCACTTCAAATTAGTCATGCTCGTGTAAAACGGGTTTAGTCCCGCCACCACTTCAAAAACAAATCAAAACATGCTTTTAAAATCAAAGGGCGTTACCATAATTTACTTACCTCACTTGCATAAAATCGAGCACGCAATTCACGCACTAACTGACAGAACGATCGGGAACCTAATCAAAACACCTTAGAATTAATACCGGACTATCACAAATTCAAGCTGAATTCATCATTAGGATCATTCCTAATCACAATGCTATTTCTATCACTTTCCACATGATCGGACATCTCCAAATTCATTCTTATATCACAAACTAATCATTTAAATTCCCGTCAATTATCGGCCCTCGGGGTGTGAACAGTGCCTATGAACAGAAGCCGTGAACAGTACCCGCGACGTGAACAGTACTGCCAACTTCCAAAAATGGCAAAACACTAGTTAATTTCATGGGATTTTCTCCAAAAATCACATAGCAGTCCATTAACAATCAATCGTATAAATTCCACTTGAATCAAGCTAAATCATGGTCTAATTACTATCAATTTTCTCCCCTAATTAATCCAGAATTTCAAACACAAAGGGCAGCAATTAAATGGCTAAACTTGCACTTAGAGAAGTTGCCACATACCATAATTCTCCAGCTGTAGAAACCAGAGCTGCAAGGGGAGAAGAGGCCGGCGGCAATTGCAGGGAAGAATCACGCAATCTACCCAAAAATTGGAGAACCAAGAGGAAATTAAGGTAAACCCAAGGCAATTCAAAGCTAGAGAAGGGAGATTCATGGCTATTTCTTACCAAAAATCGGAGCAATTCGCCCCCACAAACAAGAGCAACCGGCGGACAGTAGAGGGAAGAGCAGAGCAGATCCAGAAGCTTCCTGCAGGGGGGAAGATTTTCTGGGTTCTACATGTGTTGTAAAGCAAGGAAAGAAGGAGAAATCCAAGCTTTCTCACTAGTTTCTCAAGCATGGCTGGGTTCCCCTTTTTTTTTCTTCGGGCGGCTGCAGTGGGAAGACAGAGCAAAACACGCAGGGAAGAAGAAGAAAAGAAAAGAAAGAAAGAAAAAGGAGAAAAGAAAAGAAGTCATCCTTATCCAAAATCTTTCCCTCTTTAAGTCCCTCAAATTTCAAAATGTTGGCCATCAAGCCCCAAAACAATCTTTTCTCACAATTTAGTCCTTAACTGAATGCTAAAATATCACAAAATTTCGGGGTATTACAATTGCCCTATACACTTTTACTACAATACAACTCCATGGTAGGTTTTCAACAATTGCCTTGTACGCTTTTACTACAATACAGCTCCATGGTAGGTTTCCAAGAAGAAGAAGAAGAAGAATAGTAAATAAATAGGGACAATTGCCCTATATGCTTTTACTACAATATAGCTTCATGGTAGGTTTCTAAGAAGAAGAAGAATAATAAATAAATAGGGACAATTGCCCTGTACGATTTTACTACAATACAGCTCCATGGTAGGTTTCCAATCTTAGCATTGATTCAAGAATACTTTAACAGTAAATAAATAGGGACAATTACGCTGTACGCTTTTACTACAATACAGCTTCATGATAGGTTTCCAACAAAAAGAAGACAAAAAAGAAGTAATATAGCTTCATGGTAGGTTTCCAGCAATATAGCTCCATGGTAGGTTTTTAGCAATTGCACTATACGCTTTTAAGAAGAAGAAGAAGAACATGGTAGGTTTCTAGCAATACAACTCCATGGTAGGTTTCCAGCAATTGCCTCGTACTCTTTTAAGAAGAAGAAGAACATGGTAGGTTTCTAGCAATATAGCTCCATGGTAGGTTTCTAGCAATATAGCTCCATGGTATGTTTCTAGCAATTGCCCTGTACACTTTTAAGAAGAAGAAGAAGAAGAAGATGTCAAAACATAAAAAAATTAATTCAAGAATACTCTAATAGTTAAATAAATAGGGACATAAAAAAGCTGATTCAAGAATACTCTAACAGTAAATAAATAGGGACAATTGCCAAAGAAAAAAAAGACAAGAAGAAGATGTCAAAGCATAAAAAACTTGATTCAAGAAGAAGAAGAAGACCAAGATGTCAAAAAATAAAAAAAATTGATTCAAGAATACTCTAACAGTAAATAAATAGGGACATAAAAAAGTTGATTCAAGAATACTCTAATAGTAAATAAATAGGGACAATTGCCAGAAAAGAAGAAGAAGAAGAAGATGTCAAAGCATAAAAAAGTTGATTCAAGAATACTCTAACAGTAAATAAATAGGGACAATTGCCCTATACGCTTTTATTACAATACAACTCCATGGTTGGTTACAAATCTCAGCATTGAAGAAGAAGAAGAAAAAGATGTCAAAGCATAAAAAAGTTGATTCAAGAATTCTCTAACAGTAAATAAATAGGGGCAATTGCCCTGTACGCTTTTATTACATGTCAAAGCATTAAAGTTGATTCAAGAATACTCTAACAGTAAATAAATAGGGACAATTGCCCTGTACGCTTTTATTACAATACAACTCCATGGTTGGTTTCAAATCTCAGCATTGAAGAAGAAGAAGAAGAA